TTAACAACTGTCAGAACCATTTTTGCTGTGAAGTTTGCTTTCCCACTGTAACAGTCACATCTTGTACTGAAGAACTAGGCCAGGCTGACCTTATGAAAATATTTGTAACCTTTCTTCGATTAGTTTCAGTTTAACAACGCATGCCACGCTCAGTACAAAAGCGGAGCCACATTTATCACACACAAGGGTGAGGAGTAGACCCTTCAAATTGGTGATTTGTCGCGGCACGCCTTCATCAATTTTTTGGACCTTCCAGCTTCTTTCGTATGACTGAGGAACAGGGACCAGTCATGTTCCGCTTGAGCGGAACATTCTCAATACTCCTGTGCAGCATGCTTCAACCAGAGCTTCGGCTACTCGTTGGCAACATGTGGTATCCGACCACCACCCTCCCGAAGTTGTCACCATTACAAGAACTTTCTGAGCGACAGCTTCGAGGCATATTTATTGCAAATCTAAGCCACGTGCATTTTTATTTCTTCACCTGATTCCTGAGAAGCTATATGAAAATGTTTTAGAAACAAAGATGACCCGAGTGTCAGATAAAGCAAGAGAAGCTCTTTCGAACAGTTTTTATATTGGCGGCGGCAGTTTGGTAGGACAAAGTAAAAATAGTGCATTCGAATAAGGTGTCGAAAAACAACAGGATTTTTCACAAGTCCGAATAAATATATGAAGTATTACAGAATCCTCACAGACAAGTTGAACAAAATCTAAAGTATCTGATGAGCATCAGATAGCAACTTCATTGCACACGCTAACTATTTCAGATAATATTTTGCTGTTCGCGAATCCTGGTGAAGTATTCTACCGAGCTGGTGAGAATGCTGCTGCGGTGCCCATTTGGACAGGAGAAAAAGGAGTAGATCCAGATCTTAAGTGAAGCTTTTTTGGGGATTTGTTAAGTGAGAACACTCCGAATGATTCTGCAAATTCCAGTTATTGTTCCTTACCTGCCTTCGTTACAAATCCAACATGTGCGGCGTCGATATCTCCTACGTCAAATATGGGTGCAGCCGGGAGACCCTTCTACGTTGGCAGATCGCGCAAAAATGATGCAGGTTCCATGTGCTTTTGTTCTGCTCGTTTTTTTTCGTGATGAGTTTACAAGGTTTCGTAATAGTTATCTAGGGTATGTCAATGGGAACTTCCAACTTGGTGCACCTTTAACTCTTGGAAAAATACAGATAGAAATTGTCCACTACACACCACAGCGTACATATACTCGATATCGGAGTTGGGGTAGGCGTGTCACCGGAAGTGACGTGCACTTGATAGAAGCTATGTGGATAAGCTGCTTCCAACATACATCGCTGGCTATCAGCAAAGCATGCTGGCAACAGCTTATCCACGCACTTCTATCAAGTGCACACGTTCAGTGACACACAAAAAAAAAAAAAGTCACGCCTATCTTGCAACTTTTCGGATATCGACTTGTCCCTTTGAAATCCGCATCAATACTTTTGCCCACTCACTGATGTTGTTGCGCAGCAGTCCGCTGTTCTGCGAGTGTATGACTTGTGGCGCCCCCAGTGCTTGTTGTAGATGATTGAGAGGATGATCCACTAAAAAAGCTGTATACACTTTATGATACGCAACACAACGCATACACAGCGCAAAGCTTACACATGGAACTATTGCGAATAATGTTTACAAGAGCCTCACGCTGTTCTGCTGTCAGTGTCTTCAAAGTTTCAATGTCGGTCATCTGCAATGTAATTCAATTCAAATTTCAGCAATTTTTGATTCAAATTTTTTTCAGAAGCAAACTCCTTGCGACTGGATAAAGTTTATCAGTTTCTCTGAAAGAAGCATTCTGTCTGTTAGGTGAATATCACAAGCCGAAGTGTCACACGACCCCTAGATCAGCCATATATTCGATAGGCCCTTCCGACGCCATTAAACGAGGCAAATCAGGCATACTCTCGGATAACTAAATCGCATTGATTGCCCCCGCGAGAATTTATTAATAAAAACAAACAGTTGTGTCTCCTGGCTTGATAGGCGATGGTCGCGTGAACATTGGTCTAGAGCTAATGGAGGTTGACTTGAGGTCGGGTCCATCACCGGCTTCCAGAGCATGTGCACGAGCCGTGTTACCTGAAGTATGGAAGTCACTCAAAACCTGTTCAGACTACTGCTTTCCTCGGTTTTCTATAAAATCGGGATCAGATGCATATGAAGCTATTGCAGCCCCGCCGTCCATTGAACTAATTTCTATTAGATGAAAAGCTGGACGATGCGATGTAGAGGTGTGATGGAAGTGTTAGTTTTTCTCACGTGGGCTAGCGTGAAGAGAGCGTTACTGCACCTACACAAAAACTTCTCAACTAATGACGTGATGTCTGTGTTCATATGGGAAAATGAAACTCCCTGGAACTTCAAGAAATCTAGTGATGCCTTTAGCCGCAAGAGGAAGTCTAAGATTCGCTTGTGTCCCATAGTGAGTGTGTTGTCTACTGGTTCCACCGCTTATAGGTCCATTTTTCACCACAACGCAGAGCTACGGACGTTAACACTGCTACGGTGCTTTGCTCACCCCTGGACAGCCTTCGTACTATTGTGTTGCAGCCTCCGACGGTTAATTGAGCGTGCGCCAGCAACCATATTAGAGAATAAATCTGTAGCCCCTAGGCAGCTTGCTTCTTAAGCCTAAGGCTCGTTCTCGTGTTGGTTTCCCCGTGTATGGGAACGTCAGCTTTGTATGACTCTAGGATGTGACATATACAGATTAAAGGTTATGCTGTAATATCGGGTTGTGCCTTTGAAGTGCCAACGTGGTTTTACCGCGCATAGGAAATTCGAGACTGGAGAAGGAAGGAAGCGGAAAAACTGGATTCGCAACTGGACTGAAGAATAATGAAAGGCAAGCCTCGGTGTAAGGATTAAAACAACGCCGCGAGCGAAAGTGTTAGGATTGCAACTAGGAAGTTCGTGCCACCTTCACGCACAAATGCGCGGTTAGAGCGCTAATCGTTACACAACTTGCAAGTGCTACATCAATCCTGCAGCTACAGCGCAACGTGGAGTACGATGAAGCGGGACAGGATTATTATGTAGCAGCAGTACTGAGAAATTCGTCCGAGCACGTCCCTTCCCCATCTAAGACGTGCTGCTGAAAGAGGAGCTTCGCTCGGAGCGTAGGGTTCGACTGTTTTACGTTTCTTTTTTTTCAGCTCCTCGCGACCCCCAGATTCATTACTGATGCTTTACACACCTGCATTTACCCCGGGGGTTTTTCTTTAAGTGTGCTTCCAGTGGGGGCACTACAGCAGAAATCGTCCTATTGTCCCCCTAATTTTACCAAAGCTATGTGACGCGATCTCCCTCCAGAAAAAAAAGGCTAATAGAAGGGTACGATTTGTTTTTTTTAATTCGCTCCACATAGTTCACAACTGTTGTTTCGTATCTGAATAGCCACAACTCGCCGGGGATGAACGCAGCTGAGCAAAGTGGCGAATCATAACTGGGGAAGAATGTCGCTTAGAACCAGAGCAGGTAGTTCTCGTAAAATGGCATAAGTAGCTAGCACAAACTGAAGAATAATTTGGGCTATAGGATCTCCATGGATACTGCTTCTGCCCACGGACGTCGGTGATTTATACGACAGAAAAGCAGTGAACTCCGAGCCTGGAGTGAAAGACCGAAAAAAAAAAAAAAAAAAAAAATAAAAGACGCGAAGATGTAGCAGACATAAAATATACTCATCAAGAAGGACTGCATAGGAGTCATGACACGTTGGAAAGTTGCTCATGAATGGAGTCTAGGGGCGACGCTTAGTAGGAACAGGCAGCGTCCGTGCTGACTGATGTAGTAGCGATTAAAAACACAGCAGATGCGAAAGGCTAGTAGGTCGATTGAAAGGCTCCTATCTTGTAGGAAATTGCTATACTGCTCGGACTGTTATACTTTATAAACGAATGTCTCCTCATACCTCAGCTCTTATGGAAATCCCACGGGTGTCACCTTTCCACGTTTTTAGCTTCTACAAATTGTGTATCGCCTCCGAGTCGATTGACATGTACTGACAACATACCGCGGTTGGCTGCCTGACGCTGAATGCGTTTCATTACGTCATGGTCTGGACGCTGACGATGGCTACCAAACCGCGTCGCAGAAAACTCCTTGATCGTGTAAGAGACGTGATTCTTTGGCGTGTAGGAAAACATCATGAGATTCTGAAACACTGACAATCAATCATCATTTTTTGCGAGTTTACTTGGTGTAGTGGGCTTTCAAAAGGCTTTGCCCCCCCTAGTAATAACTAATCATGAAAGCTCATTAAGACCAAAAATCACAGCAGAGAAAATTCACTTTGGTTGCTCGCTCTGCGTTTTTTTTCTGGCCTGATTGACAACGCAAATCAGCAACCTATTAGCTTGTAAATGTCTGATCGAAGAAAAAATTTGTTCGATTTTTTTGTGGCTTTCGCCCTGCGAAGGATTCGAATCGCAGCTGAATCACTTTGTCTGCGTCAAAGTCCTGGCACACCCTCGAGTGGAAGCGGAGGAGTAGACAACTCGGTTCTCTTACAAACGTGTATAGAAGAGTTGCTGCTTACCGACTGCGGGTAGTACTACGTTATCATCCGCGTTTGAAGAGTGGACTGGCTCGAGTTTCAGTTGAACGTATGCATCTTCAACTTCACACGCTGTAATTAATGTGTGTAAGACATAGTAGAGCACTCACAAGGGAGGGAGGGTCTTTCAGGACAAGCCGCGCTTTTTGGAAAACGGTTTCTTGCATATTGTAGGGACGCATGTATGGACCACAAAACCATGTTTCGTTTTCGCTGAACGGTTTTAGTAGTATCAAAAAAGTGGTGAATGATACCCTTGATGGTTCGATCCCCGCGGCGACTAAATTTTGCAATCAAGGTTGGCGGCCACTTGTTGGCTTCAAAATGGTCCTGACGATGAATGACATCTGATTTTGACATTTAGCGCGATTTGGCACCAAACCGTAGGCGCCAACCCAAATGCAAAATTTAGTCGCCACGGGGATCGAACCCTTACACTACTTTTTTGGTACTGCTAAACCCGTTCAGCAAAATGAAACATGGCTTTGTGTGGTCTTCAATCGTCCTACCAGGGTCAACCGTTACGTTGGACCGATATTGGAGCGACGTTGGACCGATGTTCACCGCTCTCCGCGCCGGCATTCACTCTCGCCACCCGCGAGCCGTCTGTGTCTCCGTGCGTACGTTCACTCTCGGCATTACTCTCGTCGTCGCGTTGGACTTTGTCCAACGGACGGTTGACCCTGCCCTACCACTGCCAAAACCGTTCTGAAAAAGTTTGGCTTGCTCTGAAAGACCCCCCTCCCTCTTGTCAGAAACAGCGATGACGAGATTCTGTAGGGGTTCAGACAGGACATGGGGGGTGCTCAATGGTACGCCAAAGGCGAAAAAAGCAGGAAAAGAATACATGTCAAGAATACGCAAAATAGTACCCCCTCAATTGCCCGTTCATTTTCGACCATGAATGAGTGGCGTCAAAGAAACCGTGTTAACCCCGACAGCCGCCTTCATACCAACAAGTACAGAATTCGATTGAACGGCATTATAGGAAGTTGGAAGATACAGCCGCTAAGAGAAATGATCACTCCGCTGGATATCAGCAAAGCATGCTGGAGGCGGCGCATCCATACAAAAAAAATGTCAAGAAAACCCAAGTTCAGCGAAGCATCCTTTTTGTAGTTTTTGAAGAACTATCCGAGTTGATTAGTCCATCAAGTGCGGTGCCCTCCATTTCCGGTGACACACACACAATCAGACTTCCAGATATTGAATGTACGCTAGTGGGCGTAACGTTTTCGGGCGGAGTGCTTCTGAAGTCCTGCTCAGCAACCAGGGCACCTTTCGTCGCCAAACCGCCACACTCCGCTACCTTGGCGCATAGTGTTTCGTGTGGAGCGTATACTCCCTCCGATGCA